GATACCCATCCAGCCCAAACAGCAGTTAGACTAGTGTGAGCTACGATGCTACACCGATCTTACACACTGTCACTGATCTGTATAAGCAAAGTTTTGCTGTGATGCTGCTTAAAAGCCAGGATCTGTGTGGGACAAACCCTATGCCTTCAAACAACGAGCGAGCCCTGAAGTGGCACTGTACGAGTCTTTTGTCACAAACAGCAAAAACAACAACAACACTAAATCAGCCCAACCCCACTTTGTCCTGCAGTTACCTTCAGTGTGGCCTGTCTCGTGGTCATCCGACATTCCCCGTGGCTGGGAGCGACTGCAGCAGTGGCGCAGAAGACGTCCAGGTGGGCTGCACCCCACAGCAGCATCCAGAGAGACCAGAGAGAAAGATACAGAACGCCTTCCTCTCCCAGATTTCCAGACACATCCTCCGAGGAGCCCGGCAAGCAGGAAGGGCGAGAGAGAGAGAGCAAGAGAGAGAGAGAGTCCTCTGGAGAGTGCAGAGCACAGATGGCAGGAAGGGGAGGGAGGAAGGGTTGTGGGCTGAGTTTTGTGTGCAAATTCTTGGTTTTTTTTTGTCCTTGAGCGTGTGGCATAGAGATCTCTGTGTTGTCTATTTTTAAGTCAGTCAGGGTTTTGTGTGACCAGGCAGCTCCTTCGATCAGCTGTGCAGTGCTGTAGGGAAGACACACAGATGTCCATCTGTGAACATCAGGAGAGAGTTTATATTTGTACTCCAGCCGGTAGGAAGTTAGGTTCTGTCCAGTCCTCTCCTGACTCTGTTCCTAGTTTTTGAAGTGTTTTAAGAATCCTTTGTCTGTGTTTTATAAGATTAGTTTGTGCCTGCTTCAGCTGGCCAACTAAAAAACTGCAGACCCACCCACCTCTCTCTCTTTCTCACACAAACATGCACAGGCCAGTTAGCACAGCTTAAATCAATAAGCCCTTACATCATCATCAGCCCTCTAGCCTGACTCATTATTTCAGTGCAGACAGCTACTGGACCACAGCTACTGAAACGCTGCAAAACCTGGGAGAACACTAACAGAATAATAAAGACCTCCCTTTAGGACACAGTTCTTTAAAGGATTTATGAAAACCTAATAATAAAACACAAAATTACACTGCGTCTCAGCAACATGTGCAGTAACAAAATTGTAACATATTCTTATCTGCTACTACCAACATATTTTCTTTGTAATATTTCTCACATTTTTAGTCATAATGGTGATACGCTGAACTCTTAAACAAATGCTGAATGTAAAGACTGGGAATGGGTTGAATCTGAGAAGGCCTAGTTATAATTCAGGTTTTCAGCTGACACTGCAAAATAAAATCTCCCTGCAATCACAGACTGCTGTGGCAGAGACTGTGGCGCCAGCTGTCTCCGGTGTGATATCAGATCAATGCCTGGTGAATTATTTAACACTTGTTGGCCAGGGAGCAGAATTACTCAGCCTGAGGACCAGCCATCCCTGGAGCAGGTTCTTCAGGTGCACCAGAGAGGATTTCGGAATATGCACGATTTATA